TACGATAGTCTTCTTAGTTTTCTTGAAGTTTCTCTTCCCACTAATATTTAAGTGCTCAAACTGGAGTATCATGGTCGACGAAACTGAGCATTTTCGACAGCCACCCTCCTTTTACCCCTCAAATTAAAAAGCTCGGCACTATTGAACTATTCCTACCCCAAAAACTCAAAAAAATTTTTCGCTGAAACGTTGCCTATAGGTGTAATTCGATGCCCTGATCACGAATCACATTCGTTTCGAGCGCTGGCGTCATTTGGCGCCATTATGCGCCAATTTGGCGCCCACCACTTTTTTCACCAAAGTTGATGAAAACTTGCATATGGGGGTTAATTGAGGTCCTGATTACGAATCCAACATTTATTTTTGGCGCTGGCGCCATTACGCGCCAATTTGGCGCCATATTGGCGCATAATGGCGCCAAATGACGCCAGCGCTCGAAACGGATGTGATATTCGTGATCAGCGCATCGAATTACATCTATAGGCAACGTTTCAGCGAAAAATTTTTTGAGTTTTTTGGGGTAGGAATAGTTCAGCAGTGCCAAAAGGTCTAATATAAGTGAGTAACAGTACACAAAAAAGTAAAGGCACCAAAAAAAGCTGATCAGCAGTTGCCCAATTCATAAAGACTCAACACTCTGTCTGACGGAATGAGCACTAATTTCGTTAACATCAGTTATAACTATGTAATGTTTCGTTCTAGCTCTTCATATTTGTCAATCAAGAAAGTATTTTACGGAGCAAGACATTGAAATGATATCGCATGAGTGTAAGATTGCTCCATGACATTAACGTGTACTTTGGACTATTTTCTTCAATAGCTAACTCTTGGATTTTTGAAAGTTTGGTCACAAAGTGAAACTAAAAATGTTTATTTCAAAAAACCTGAAAGATATCAGAAGCCCAAAAGTTTTTCATAATGAATCAGCTTGCAACAATTGGTGCTTGGCACCTTCGTCAAACCAGAAAGTTCAGCTTGTTGTTAATTAGACAGTATACCTACTGTACAAGTCTAGCTTGCACAGACTGCTCCCCGAATCAATCCACTTACCCAGCAGCCACGGAATAGGCAACCCACCCTTAAATAATTGGATACTTTGAGGCACGGTCACATGATGTCTTGTATCATGTGATCACGTAGTTCGTCTTCGTCGTCTATTTCGGGTAGTAGCCCTTTTTTCTGGGGCTCCAGTATTTTCCTTTCCATTGCGCGTCTCTACTGAGCGGTGTAGTATTGTTGATGATTAACGAGAAGGGTGTTTGGTGAGCGTGTTCCTTTATGCGATGCCTGGAGGAACTGCTGTTAGGGTTCCCCAGCGCGCTTCGGTTTCCGTCGATCCATTTGTAGAGGGGCCTCCCAGTTTCTCCCACATATTTTTGCCCGCATCCTTGACATTCCACCAGATAAACTGTCCCCCTGAGTTGACAAATTTTAGAGTCATTGCAGTAACTACAACCTGCCCTTCCACAACTATCTTTATAAGGTCCTTGAGATAAAAATATGAGGAGGCCTTTTAAAGACACATGGTACGCTCAACACATTGAGGGTGTATGAGACTATCAGCCCCCAGCTGTCGATGTGTCGTGGTTTCCCCGCCCGAAACTGCACGGGGTCAGAGTACGGGGCCGTGGGAAAGTCTAATTCCTTGCTACACCGCCCAAAATGCAACTTGCGGCGCAAACTCCTTTATGCTAACACCGTCCGCGCGGCGCGGTCGCGTGCAGCTCTCTTGGCTTTTTGCCAAGTCCTGTAATTGCGCTTTGGAATACAAGTACAACGCAATTTCTTTATGCGGATAACATTTTAGGTGCTGCAAAATAAGAACCGAAGATGATGACGAGGGCTAGAACTCAAGAGCAACTGTGGTGCTTCTGCAATATCCCTCAGAGGCCGCGCATTCCCACAGAACATGACAATAAAAAGCCTAAGCGTTCCACTCGTTAGTTTAATACAAGCAAAACGCAATTTCCTGATGCGGATAACATTTGAGGTGTTGCTCATGCTTCAAAGTCCGAATAGAAGGTGATGAAGATGACAAAGGCTAGAAATGAAGAACAACGAATGTAGATGTAAATAAAACAAAATGAAAAAATTAAGGAAACGCAAATTAATTAAAATCGCGTGTAAATTTCTGCGATCCGGCGCGAATTCGGCTCCAAAACCATAGAAATACTTTAAACTAACCAGTGCGACGCTTAGACCGTTTTTATTTTCATGCTCAAAATGCAGCTTGCGGCGCAAACTCCTTTATGCTAACAGCCGTCCGCGCGGCGCGTGTCGCGCGCAGCTCTCTTGGCTTTTTGCCAAGTCCTGTAATTGCGCTTTGGAATACAAGTAAAACGCAATTTCCTGATGCGGATAACATTTTAGGTGCTGCAAAATAAGAACCGAAGATGATGACGAGGGCCAGAACTCAAGAGCAACTGTGCTGCTTCTGCAGTATCCCTCGGAGGCCGCGCATTTCCACGAAACATGAAAATAAAAACGGTCTAAGCGTCGCACTGGTTAGTTTAAAGTATTTCTATGGTTTTGGAGCCGAATTCGCGCCGGATCGCAGAAATTTACACGCGATTTTAATTAATTTGCGTTTCCTTAATTTTTTCATTTTGTTTTATTTACATCTACATTCGTTGTTCTTCATTTCTAGCCTTTGTCATCTTCATCACCTTCTATTCGGACTTTGAAGCATGAGCAACACCTCAAATGTTATCCGCATCAGGAAATTGCGCTTTACTTGTATTCCAAAGCGCAATTACAGGACTTGGCAAGAAGCCAAGAGCCGTGCGCGACACGCGCCGCTGTTAGCACAAAGGAGTCTGCGCCGCAAGTTGCATGGGCGGTGTAGCAAGGAATTAGACTTTCCCACGGCCCGTACTCTGACCCCGTGCAGTTTCGGGCGGGGAAACCACGACACATCGACAGCTGGGGGCTGATAGTCTCATACACCCTCAATGTGTTTGAGCGTACCATGTGTCTTTAAGTTTGATGAAGGACGGGATATTAATTGGGACCACTTTACTGTATTATCTACTTTTGATGCCGTGATTTCATTTAGATACGGGAATACCAAAGGGATTCCGCCAGAAGCGGAATGTGGTCTCCATGTATGGGGTTTTGTACCATCCTCACCCCGCGCACCCACTTTCTATTCGCTTGTTAGAGCCCAAAAAATTAAAATATTGTTGGTTTTGCTTCAAGTAATCTCACCGAAAGAGAACCCGCCCCATTATCTCCTGTTGTAGGGACTAGTTTGAGTTTTTCGGCACTTTGTTACCAAACATCCAAATAAAATGGGACTCAGGAACAGCACGGTACTCCGATTTCTTCGTTTTTGTTGCCTCATATTTTTCTATTAGGCGATTATTTGTATTACGCTGACAAGTAGCTAAGTTGATCCTTAGCTAAAAGAGAAGACATGAGGAGCTAGTGAAGTGTTGACCATAATGATAGATCGTATGATCGAATTTTTCTAGAGGTTTGTAGGGTTTATCCTATATTTTTCCCACTGCGGCCTTGGAGGGGAGGTGCGGCTTCAAAAGTGTCCGTCCAAAGTGAATTGGAAGTAACACGGAGTAACACGGTTACCGCTTACGTGCGATAGTGACTCAATATAAAGGGGTCCCCAGCCACAAGGGAGATTGCTTGAGTACAAGTGTAGATCAAAAAGTTCGATAGAATCAATAAGAGGAAATTACCGGAGAAAATGTTCGGAGTTAGCGCGAACCAACTAGTAATCAGAAATAAATGTACTCCGGCTCAATCCGAAGAACAGATTGGCCGCCCGATACTCAAGCTGGTTGTCAAAGTAATGATTTCAATCCAACTGGAGATGGTAACCGTCGTGGGGAGGGTAAGGTTCTGCCAGTCCATCTCAGTGCCATTTCAACACAAAACATCCACCTCTACTGGGGAAACACTTTTGACTTCTTCAGCGGCTAGCCTGGTTATGGCAACCATCACTCTTGCGTTTATTTATAGGTCTTGTCTTTCACTCTACAGTACTATCCCAATCGGTTCGAGTGTAGGTTTAAGGGGCGTCACTGGAGACTCGCTTTTGCGGGGTTTAGGTGAAAGAATACAATCAAACACAGGGAGCACCGTCCATCTACAGTACACCCAGTTACGAATTTCTGGTTGCTCCTGGCTCGCACTCCACCCGCAGCGGGCGAGGCTTAGCTCAGTTCATGCGTGTTCCGTACATCTTGGCCCATGCCCTACCCAACCCACCCTTGACCCGTCCTCTCAAACTGAATCTTCAGGTGATGCCGAATCTCCGGACAGACACGCACACAGACAGAGAGACAGAGGTGGCAGTTTATTGGGACACATGTATCGAGAGATAGCGAAGTAGCCTCTATTGGGTGAACAGTTGTGAAATTGTGTGGGGGAATTCTGGTAAGTCGGTATGGAACGTCTAGCGGATGAATTGAAGTGGAAATTTGCGTCTGCCTGTATAGCTGTACAAAAATTAATAGATAAATAAACAAGCAATAAAGGCATATTGTCAAAATTTTTGACTTTGGCCTCCGTCCACAGAGGCACATTCCCCACTCACTGCGATTATACCGTTCTGTGCCTCACAACCGTATGAGCTATAGCAGCAAGCACCACCCGATCGGTGCACATCTCACTCATTACAGTACTCCCCGCTTCACTTCATCTAGCACCCATTGCTGACATGCTATTCCCTATTCCCTGAGGTGTTCTGGATCAGGGCACATCATTAGTTGGAGATGATCCAGTCCGTACTACTCCCCTCCCAGGAGGTGGCTTGATTAGCCCCCCCCCCTAGTTCCTTCCTCTGATACCATGAAGCTGTCGGGGGGGGGGGGAGAGGTATATAGCACATATGAAACGGAAAAAACCCGGAAAAAGTCGACCGCGGGAAATTTTCCGCAACGCCGCCATCTCAAAAGGCAAATACAGTCCCTCCGCCTCCGAACAACGGGCAAATACGACCCACCAACCTTACATACATCCGTAAAACAGGGAAATCAATTGTCAAAAAAACTTTTTCAGACTAAGTAAGGCCCCCTCCCCACTTGGTGGGCAATCCCAACGTTGATGGGCTCGCTCTGGGGCTTTTATCCTCTGCATCGTCCTCTTGTTAGACGCACACCCCACCCTCTGTAAGATCTTAGGTTACCTTGGGTATGCCTGGAAATGTTGGCCCACGTTACATCCATCCCAATTATGACCCGTTTCCTAGATGCAATTTGTGCTTCTAGGGAACGGATTATAATTTTCGGCGGTCACACAGGAAGCAATTGGTGCGTAGTCCCCAATTTTCGAGGTCACACAGACAAACAAGCACACACGCTTTACATACATATAGAGTGCTTTCCAGAACAATTCAGCAAAAATATACCCACACGTGTGCTCCTGCATCATGCAGAATAGCGTTCTCGAAAAAGCGCTCTGGAACCTGAGCGACTTCCATAGTTGGATCAGGAAAGTACTTAGAATAAGTGACCAATACACCATTTTTCCTAGTCACCTCACACACATGAGACCCCGTCATCATGTGGACAGCAGTAAAACCAATTTCACTTCGATCGTCTTGTGATTGCCAGTCTCAAAAACTCGCAGAGTTTTTTGCTTGTTATTCCATGTAAGGTTGCTCAAATGGCTTCTCAACTACAGGAATTGTGATTCTATTGATTTGAATAACACTGCAGCAAAGCTAAAGTGAGGTGTTTTCAGCCCGTTCAAGGTGTTTCGTGTTGTTCCCACCACCGCAGCTCAGCTGAAGAGGATGATTGCTCTATTTGAAACCGCGAAAACCGACGTAAGTCAATAATTACTGTTTCGTGTGTCACGACGAATACCTAACACATACAATGTATATGTATTCAGGAACTCGACTTTTGGCATGCACCCAGTGTTGTGAACAATACTGTTGATATAATGGTGTCGCCGTCTTTCACTGACAAATTTGTTAATTTCTTGGAGACTCATAATTACCCTTTCCACATCGCTATCGAGGATCTGAAGAAGAAAGTTTCAAATTTTGAACGCTTTTTGACATTTCGGGCATTAGAGCGATGCAAGCAACAAATGTAGTGAGGCAACCGGCGGTTTTTACTTTCTTCTTTTTTGGGTAGCTAGTCTTCACTTTTGAGGCATTTTAAAGCATCAGTAGAATACATGTTTGGAGTTACCGCTATGACTGAAGACGCGCCCGTTTTACAACTTATAAACGTCCAAATGAGATCGACGAGAATATTTAACATGTAGATTTAGACTTCTCATTGAAAAAGAAGGTGCCATAAAACTTAATCCAGAAGGCGTTGACGAGCATGATCTCGTCCGAGCGCACGATGACACCGGTACATTCGTCAGCAAACTCAGGTTTATTATTATTATATTATATTGCCATAAGAAACAAGTGCTTGCACACCTGCGTGCGGGCATCATGACGGAAATGCACGCGAAGAAAATTTCAGAATGGGCGAATATTACTCCTATTCCACCATCGTCTCGTGGATGAAGAGGATCGCTGACCGTATGCCAGACATTGCAAACGTGATCGACATCGGTACCAGTACAGAGGGAAGAAACATACTAGGATTGCAGGTGATGAAAACGCTGATCATGTTGGATTTCGACTTCCAGAAACAGGAACTTACCTAGACCACCTGCTCTCTCTCTCACGCACAGGCACTATAATTATGTACACACCAATTACATTCCGTAAGCTATATGGAGGCAGGTACAGCATCCTAATGTGTGAAGTGGTGGTGTCAGTACCATCCCCCTCAGGGAAGGGTCTCGGCACGACCCCCTCCCCCCCCCGCCCTTCCTTCCCCAGCATGTACCCACCCCCTTACTGTCTAGCGGCCAGGAAGGGGGGGGGGGGTATATAGCACATATAAAACGGGAAACAACCGCGAAAAGTCAACAAGGGGGCAAAAATTTTTCCCAATGTCGCAAACTTCTCTCAACGCACATACGACTCCCCCCCCCCTCTCTCTCAGAACAACGACCAAATACGATCCACCCTCCCCAGCGCCACGAATAACCCCCGTGAGTTTCACACATGACGCTGTGCCCTGTGCGGAGGGCTGAATCAATGCATTCTCATGTTATGAATCCCCAGCAGAGCTGGGCGTATTTGGTCGGTGGAGGAGAAAGAGGGGGATTCGCATACGCCTTCGAGGAAGATTTTTTTTGATTCAGTTGTTGACTGTTCTCGGTATTCCCTATTCCAAGTACGCTATCCGAGTGCGTCAACGTGAACCCCAAATGGTCGCTTTTTTTATTACCCCCCCCCCCCACTTGCTCTATCTCTCGACATCCTTACATGCATCTCAGAGCCCATAATTTGATGAACGATTATCGTTTTGTTGACATCGTGTTGGCTAAAGGGATAAAGGGAAAAGTTCACACAATGAGCGTTCAGTACTTGAATGAATAGTGATAAGAAGTACAACGAAATGCGGTGAAGATGGCTCTATCTGTTCTTGTCAACCGATATCATCTCTAGTCACCCGTTAACAGTGTCCCTATCACTTAAAGACACATGGTACGCTCAAACACATTGAGGGTGTATGAGACTATCAGCCCCCCAGTCGTGGTCCCCCGCCCAAAACTGCACGGGGTCAGAGTACGGGACCGTGGGAAAGTCGTAATTCCTTGCTACGCCGCCCGTTTTTGCAAACTCACGTTTTTACTAACACCGTCCGCGCGGCGCGGTCGCGTGCAGCTCTCTTGGCTTTTTGCCAAGTCCTGTAATTGCGCTTTGGAATACAAGTACAACGCAATTTCTTTATGCGGATAACATTTTAGGTTCTGCAAAATAAGAACTGAAGATGATGACGAGGGCTAGAACTCAAGAGCAACTGTGCTGCTTCTGCAACAGCCCTCGCAGGCCGCGCATTCCCACAAAACATCAAAATAAAAACGGCCTAAGCGTCCCACTCGTTAGTTTGAAGTATTTCTATAGCATTAGAGCCGGATTCGAGCCGGATCGCAGAAATGCACACGCGATTTTAATTTATTGTTTCCTTAGTTTTTTCAATTTTGTTTTATTTACATCTACATTCGTTGTTGTTCATTTCTAGCCTTTGTCATCTTCATCACCTTCTATTCGGACTTTGAAGCATGAGCAATACCTCAAATGTTAGGAAATTGCGTTTTGCTTGTATTGTCATGTTGTCATGTTGTCCGTTTTTATTGTCATGTTCTGTGGGAATGCGCGGCCTCTGAGGGATATTGCAGAAGCACCACAGTTGCTCTTGAGCCCTCGTCATCATCTTCGGTTCTTATTTTGCAGCACCTAAAATGTTATCCGCATAAAGAAATTGCGTTGTACTTGTATTCCAAAGCGCAATTACAGGACTTGGCAAAAAGCCAAGAGAGCTGCACGCGACCGCGCCGCGCGGATGTTAGCATAAACGTGAGGGCGGTGTAGCAAGGAATTACGACTTTCCCACGGCCCCGTACTCTGACCCCGTGCAGTTTTGGGCGGGGGGACCACGACACATCGACAGCTGGGGGGCTGATAGTCTCATACACCCTCAATGTGTTTGAGCGTACCATGTGTCTTTAAGTTCACAATTTGAATTGAAAGCCCTACCACCTCGAACAATGACGACGACCGCAACTTTCCTTATCACCCCCTGTCAGTTATTATCGCTTTTTGTCATCCACTGTTGATGTGACGCTTTATGTCACTTGGAACCAACGCCTCGCTGATGGTGCGATACATTTGACGACTCTCCTCTTCTATAGCCTCCTATGGGATCTTATCAGCTGTGACAAAGTTCTGTCACCCACCAATAGCGTTCCCGTCTTACTCCCTATCCTCACACAATGGAACCTGCGCTATGCAGTTGTTGCGACCCTCGCTGTGAATTTGGCGACTATCCTCTCCGTGGCCTCTTATCTTATCATACCAACTCTTAGGTAATGCGAACTTCCGGATAGCCAAACAGACAAAAGTAGCAAATCATTTTATAGTGGGACCAGCCGGCTTTGCCGGCTGATGCCTGCACGCCTTCTTCTGAGATAAAGAATGGATTTGCTGAGCGGGCCCGGCTCCGCCGCACTTATCCTTTCTCCTCACCGGCTTTTCTTTTATACAGATAGTCAACAATCTTTGACCAATATGTTCATACGAGTAGCTCACTATAGTGCACTACATGATTCTTTTATATAGTGAGGTTGTAAACAATCACACATTGCCTCAAAGTGATACCAAAACATGGATTTTATTCGCGACTCTGCTAGCGGTTGATCCTTCCTCTATCACTATATAAAAGAATCATGTAGTGCACTATAAGTGAGCTACTCGTATGAACATATTGGTCAAAGATTGTTGACTATCTGTATAAAAGAAAAGCCGGTGAGGAGAAAGATAAGCGCGGCGGAGCCGGGCCCGCTCAGCAAATCCATTCTTTATCTCAGAAGAAGGCGTGCAGGCATCAGCCGGCAAAGCCGGCTGGTCCCACTATAAAATGATTTGCTACTTTTGTCTGTTTGGCTATCCGGAAGTTCGCATTACCTAAGAGTTGGTATGATAAGATAAGAGGCCACGGAGAGGATAGTCGCCAAATTCACAGCGAGGGTCGCAACAACTGCATAGCGCAGGTTCCATTGTGTGAGGTGGGAGTAAGACGGGAACGCTATTGGTGGGTGACAGAACTTTGTCACAGCTGATAAGATCCCATAGGAGGCTATAGAAGAGGAGAGTCGTCAAATGTATCGCACCATCAGCGAGGCGTTGGTTCCAAGTGACATAAAGCGTCACATCAACAGTGGATGACAAAAAGCGATAATAACTGACAGGGGGTGATAAGGAAAGTTGCGGTCGTCGTCATTGTTCGAGGTGGTAGGGCTTTCAATTCAAATTGTGAACGTTAAAGACACATGGTACGCTCAAACACATTGAGGGTGTATGAGACTATCAGCCCCCCAGCTGTCGATGTGTCGTGGTCCCCCCCAAAAACTGCACGGGGTCAGAGTACGGGGCCGTGGGAAAGTCGTAATTCCTTGCTACACCGCCCTCACGTTTATGCTAACACCGCGCGGCGCGGTCGCGTGCAGCTCTCTTGGCTTTTTGCCAAGTCCTGTAATTGCGCTTTTGGAATACAAGTACAACGCAATTTCTTTATGCGGATAACATTTTAGGTGCTGCAAAATAAGAACCGAAGATGATGACGAGGGCTACTCAAGAGCAACTGTGGTGCTTCTGCAATATCCCTCAGAGGCCGCGCATTCCCACAGAACATGACAATAAAAACGGACAACATGACAATACATGACAATACAAGCAAAACGCAATTTCCTAACATTTGAGGTATTGCTCATGCTTCAAAGTCCGAATAGAAGGTGATGAAGATGACAAAGGCTAGAAATGAACAACAACGAATGTAGATGTAAATAAAACAAAATTGAAAAAACTAAGGAAACGCAATAAATTAAAATCGCGTGTGCATTTCTGCGATCCGGCTCGAATCCGGCTCTAATGCTATAGAAATACTTCAAACTAACGAGTGGGACGCTTAGGCCGTTTTTATTTTGATGTTTTGTGGGAATGCGCGGCCTGCGAGGGCTGTTGCAGAAGCAGCACAGTTGCTCTTGAGTTCTAGCCCTCGTCATCATCTTCAGTTCTTATTTTGCAGAACCTAAAATGTTATCCGCATAAAGAAATTGCGTTGTACTTGTATTCCAAAGCGCAATTACAGGACTTGGCAAAAAGCCAAGAGAGCTGCACGCGACCGCGCCGCGCGACGGTGTTAGTAAAAACGTGAGTTTGCAAAAACGGGCGGCGTAGCAAGGAATTACGACTTTCCCACGGTCCCGTACTCTGACCCCGTGCAGTTTTGGGCGGGGGACCACGACAGCTGGGGGGCTGATAGTCTCATACACCCTCAATGTGTTTGAGCGTACCATGTGTCTTTAAGTGATAGGGACACTGTTAACGGGTGACTAGAGATGATATCGGTTGACAAGAACAGATAGAGCCATCTTCACCGCATTTCGTTGTACTTCTTATCACTATTCATTCAAGTACTGAACGCTCATTGTGTGAACTTTTCCCTTTATCCCTTTAGCCAACACGATGTCAACAAAACGATAATCGTTCATCAAATTATGGG